CCTCCCTCCCCCTCCCCTCCCCCTCCCTCCCTCCCCCTCCTCCCTCCTCCCTCCTCCCTCCTCCCTCCTCATCTCCTCTCCCTCATTCCCTCCTCCTTTATGCATGTCGCATCTCACGGATCTTTGCTTCAGTCTCTTGCTCCTCACTTCGACGCTAATCGAGGAGCGGAAGTAGAAGACGCGACGAGGGGAGGGCAGACCCTCGCGACCCTCCTGGTAGATGAAACCAAGAAAAAGACTATTATGACTTGATCATGTATCTAACGATTGTTGTGACTTGATAATGTTTGTTACATCTGTTATAGCTTGATAATGTTTCTCATGTTGGTTATGACTTGCTTTCTCGTCCTCTTCGCCTCCTCCGCCTTCTCGATCTCTTCGCTGATTCTTCACCTTGTGCTCGCTGTCTCAGGTGTATCTCAGCGACTCGACGCAAGGAGGTGAAACTGCCTTCGGGAAGCTTGGAGTCAAGGTCAGTGGTGGAGGGTTGACGGGGAGGCAGAGGAGTAGCGTAAAGAGAAATGGATGGGGATCGGGGTTGAAGAGGAGGAGGAGGCGGAGGAAGAGGAAGAAGAAAATGAGGAAGAGTAAGAAGAAAAGGGTAAAGGAGTAAAAGGGCGGGTTGGAAGAGGAGGTGAGGAGGCGGAGGAGAGGAGGAGCAGATTTAATGTTGGAGCAGGTCAGTCCCAAGAAGGGTCAAGGACTACTTTTCTTCCCTGCTACAGCAACCGGAGAATTTGATGAGCGTAAGAGACTCGTTCCCCTCCTCCCCATCCCGCAAGCCTCTCCCCCTCCCCTCCTCCGTCCGCCCTGCTCCCTCTGCCCTGCTCCCTCCTCCCTCCTCACTTGGTCCTTTCCCTTCCTCTTACTGCTCTTTCTCATGAGTCTGAGTTTGCTGCGCAGGCGTAGAGCACGAAGGATGCGAGGCCATGTGAGTTTTTACCTTCCTCATCCTCCCCCGCACCTTCACATCCTCTTTTCCATTCCCGCACCTGCCCTGATGCTTTCTAGGGACGAGAAGTGGATTGTGAGAATCTGGAGACATGCAGGTAAGGAAGAGGGAGGGAGGGAGGGGAAGGAGAGGCGAGCGAGATGAGGCGCAAAGAGGAGAAGGAGAAGAGAGGAAGGGAATCAGAGGAAGAGAGGAGGAAAGCATATCAGGGGGAGCGAGGGCCGGTTGAGGGCCAGGGACAGGTTTCTTGACATTCTAGCAGACCGCGTGTCTCCTCCTTTCGGACTTCCCGACAACTACCAAGGGAAGCACGTGGATTGAGAAGCAAGAATATTCAATGAAGGCGTCAGAAGCTTAGCTGATTCTGTCTCTGCCCTTCCTCTCCTCCCGCTCCTCCCGCCCGCCCTCTCACTCAACACCACAACCTCCCCAGGTCCTCGCAAGTGATCGGATCATCTATCCTCCTCCTTGTTCTCCGACTTATCTCAGTCGCTCCATGCTCCGTGACTAGCAGTTCTAGAGTCTCTCTTTGTCATCATCCTCGAGTTCTCAGAATCTTGACTCGCCCACATCGCCGCTAGACCTGCTCTCCTCCTTCTCATGATAACATCTGGATTCAAACTACTTTTTCGACTTATTTGCTTGACGACTCGCTGCTGCTCTCTTCCCCATCCTCCTCCTTCTCCTCGTCCTCGTCCTCGTCCTCGTCCTCGTCCTCGTCCTTGGAATCAGTCTCCTCCTTCGACTCGTTGCTTCCTGACCCGCTGCTCCCGCTCCTGGACTTGCTCTCCTCGTCTTCGGATGAGCTGCTCCTGTTCTTGTCCGACCGGCTCGATGCTGATGATGAACTGCTGCGATCTTCCTTAGACCCGCCCTCATCTTCACTCGACCTGCTGCTCCCGCTCCTGGACCGGCTCTCCTCCTCGTCCTCCTCGTCCTCGTCCTCGTCCTCGTCCTTGGAATCAGTCTCCTCCTTCGACTCGTTGCTTCCTGACCCGCTGCTCCCGCTCCTGGACCGGCTCTCCTCGTCTTCGGATGAGCTGCTCCTGTTCTTGTCCGACCGGCTCGATGCTGATGATGAACTGCTGCGATCTTCCTTAGACCCGCTCTCATCTTCACTCGATCTGCTGCTCCCGCTCCTGGACCGCCTCGTCCTCCTCGTCCTCGTCCTCGTCCTCGTCGTCCTTGGAATCAGTCTCCTCCTTCGACTCGTTGCTTCCTGACCCGCTGCTCCCGCTCCTGGACCGGCTCTCCTCGTCTTCGGATGAGCTGCTCCTGTTCTTGTCCGACCGGCTCGATGCTGATGATGAACTGCTGCGATCTTCCTTAGATCCGCTCTCATCTTCACTCGATCTGCTGCTCCCGCTCCTGGACCGGCTCTCCTCCTCGTCCTCGTCCTCGTCCTCGTCCTCGTCCTCGTCCTCGTCCTCGTCGTCCTTGGAATCAGTCTCCTCCTTCGACTCGTTGCTTCCTGACCCGCTGCTCCCGCTCCTGGACCGGCTCTCCTCGTCTTCGGATGAGCTGCTCCTGTTCTTGTCCGACCGGCTCGATGCTGATGATGAACTGCTGCGATCTTCCTTAGACCCGCCCTCATCTTCACTCGATCTGCTGCTCCCGCTCCTGGACCGGCTCTCCTCCTCGTCCTCCTCGTCCTCGTCCTCGTCCTCGTCGTCCTTGGAATCAGTCTCCTCCTTCGACTCGTTGCTTCCTGACCCGCTGCTCCCGCTCCTGGACTTGCTCTCCTCGTCTTCGGATGAGCTGCTCCTGTTCTTGTCCGACCGGCTCGATGCTGATGATGAACTGCTGCGATCTTCCTTAGACCCGCTCTCATCTTCACTCGATCTGCTGCTCCCGCTCCTGGACCGGCTCTCCTCGTCCTCCTCATCATCATCATCCTGCATCCTAGATGAGCTCGTGCTGCTGTCATCATTTGACGCGCTGTCATCCTTCTTCGAATGTCCGCGGTTTCTCTTCGATCCCCGATTCTCCCTCTCTTTCAAAGACTCGCTCTCGCTCCTTCCTGACTCGCTTTCACTACCTCCTCGTTCTTCTGATGAAGACTGGACGTTGCTCTTCCGCACCGCCAACTTCTTTCCGGATTCTCTGGACCTCTTGGATTGCCGCCGTGTCTCCCCCGATGATTCGCTGTCATCTTCGTCCGAGTTGCTGCTATCGTTGGATGACCCCGATTCTTCTTCACTTGACCTGCTCTCCTCGCTCAACTCTGAACTTTCTTCCCTCTCATGACGTTTGGGGCGGGATTTGGATGTTGAGAGCCCTTTGTTCCTTCTTGAGCTCGTAGCAGATCCTCGTCCATGGCCGGAAGTGCTTTTCTTTCTCTCACCGACATCACTATCAGTTTCCTCGCTGGTATCCTCATGGTACCCCCTTCCTCTCTTCCCCTCTTGCCTCTTCTTCTTGGTTGAATTTCGCTTGGATGCTGATGGGTGCTGGTTTTCCTCGACACCACTTGTCCTTAACCTTTTCAAGTTGCGGCTCCTTGCACTTGCGCTGGAGCTTTCGCTCCCATCAAACTCACTTGACATCGACTCAGACTCGTCAGAACCTTCACTAGAGTCCCCTGGATGATTTCGCTTCTTCTTGGATGATTGATGCAGCTCAGAATGTTTGCGCTTTTCGTCGTCTCCCTTCCTTTCACTGGACTTGCGATCACTTGATTTCTTGCTCAGCGTGTCCCTTGAAGTTCTCGATCGGTCATCGTTGGACCGTTTCGCTGGCTTCCTTCCCGTTTTTCCCTTCTCTTGGTCAGCAATCACGTCGAGTAATCCCATCCTCTCACCTGGGACTTCCTGTTCCTCTCACTGGACTCGCTGCTGGATCTTTCTTCGCTGGTCGGGTCACTGTCAGACACTTCTGAAGATTCTCTGTCGTCCGAGTCGGACGATTCCTGCTACCAGCAGGTGAGCATGCACAAACATCGCAGGCTCAGCAGGCCCTCACCTCGCCAGACCCTCGTTTCCGAGCGCTGCCCTTGTGCTTCTCCTGCCGTAATCACTCGTGTCAGCCAGCAGCGGACGCCATCCGACTGGCATCACAGAGACAAGCATGTCTCCCACACCTTTTTCTTTCCGCCTTGCCCTCCCTTGCCGCTCCCCTTCTGTTCGTTCAGACGCTTCTCCCTGGCAATGCAGCAGAGCTGTCATGGCACCAACCAAGAGGCTCAGGGCATGTCACCAGTCCTCGAGTTCTCTCAGCTCATCTTCCAGCTTCTGCTTCTTGGATCGAAGTTGCTCCTAGCCAGGCTGTCATGCACAGAATCCGCTCCTAGGTGAAGGCACCGACCTCGTCCATGCCCGCAGCATGGTCGCTGTCCTCGTCTCCTCCCGAGCTCTCTTCAGTCTCGCTCGTGGACTCGATGAGAGAAGCACTTTCTGACTGGAGGGAACTGGACGGGGATCGGTTGTTGGAACGTCCGGCTGCTCCTTTGCTCTGCGTCTCACAGTCAACAGCAAACATCTTCTATGGGTGTTCACCTCAGGGGTACGAGTTGCCTTGTCCTTCCCTCCTCCTCCTCCTCCTCTGAGTTTCAGGAGCCAAGGATGCGAAAGACGTTTGTTCCAGTCTTCCAATAGCAACAAAGATCCATGCGTGCACGATCCCGTTTCTGCGAAGCAAGTCACAACGCGATCAGGACGATCAGGTGGGGAAGGTGGAGAAGCAGTCAGGGTCCGCGATCGATCCGTCATGAAGCGCATGCCTCATGAATTCGACCGGTTTCTCGCTCATCGCAGGCGAATCCTCACCTCCGAGCATATCGCGCAGGACAGGAGCCTGGCGCAGTCTGGTCGAGACGCAAGGAAGAGTCTGAGACATGGAGGCAAGAGGGAGGAGGAGGATGGAGAGCATCATCCTCATCATCTTCCCTTGCCTCTGCCTCCTCCTCTCCTCCATCGCCGCCTTGCCGCGTGTGGGCCCTTCTAGAATCATTAGAGCGCGCTTGCGTGGGCGGTTACACAAATCGATACGTTACAATTGTAACGTACAGTAACCGATACTGTTGTTCGTACTACCCCCTTCAGACATTTGAATAGTACCCGTTCATCGCAATTACTCACCGGTCGAAACGAGGATAATTCATGGGGTGGGGTATAGGGGTAGTCGCTAATTCGGGCATTGTATGGCGAAACTAACGAAGATTTCACGGAGAGCGACGGGGAGATGAAAGAGAGGGAGGAGTAGAGAAGAGGAAGATGAAGATGAAGATGAAGGGAAGAGAGATGATGATGGTGATAAAGGGAGGAGAAAGAAAAGGAAGTGAAGGAGGACGAGAAGAGAAGGAGAGGAGGAAGAGGTGCTGGAAGTGAAGATGAAGGCGTGAAAGAGGCTCATGGAGAGAGGAACAAGCAAGAATGGGAGGGATGTAAATGACGAGCTTCAAGAAAAAAGTGTTGTCGGCCGTACGAATACTGCTTGATAACCTCGTTGTCTTGTTACAATTGTCTGCGTCAACCTTCGCATGTTTTTGACGTGACATTGCGGCGCAGATGTCTTGCCCACTGCATGAGTTCTCGTCGTCCAAGTGACCTGCACGATGATCCTGGGAGATCATTCCATTCCTCTCTTGCCCGAGTGCTTGGTGGGGGACAGGAGCATCGTTGTAGCGAAATGTCCCGCAAGGACAAAACGCTCCATGGCGAGGACAGCCACTGGCGCTGCTGTGCTGCTCCTTGTTGCTGTGTTGGTCGTAGGAGCGAACCTCGATAGAGCGGGCAAAAATGTTGGGCAGCAGCGTGCCGGAGGGTCCCTTGTGGCAGGGTGGCAACGAGACTCTCTGCTGCAGAAATCAGGAGAGAGGAGGTGGATGCTTGCTAAGTTCCTTGCCCACTCGCTCGTGCGATCGTTGAAGACTTCAGCTGAGATGTCGATGCGTCGTCGCGCAGATGCTGCAGTGGGGGGAGGGATCGGGAGGGAAACTTTGGTTCAAGGATCTGGCAGCAAGCTTGCGCTGAAGGAGCTGATCCGGGGCAAGCCGAGGCATGGGAGTCATGTGAAGATGTTGCAGCTAGCACTGAATCAGACAAGAGAGGCAACGACGAACTCCCATGTCAACAGCTCAGCAGCTGAGAATGACGGGGAGGAGGGCAAGGCGCAGAGAGGGCAAGGGGGCGAGGAGAAGCAGGAGGGGGGGGATGAGGTGGACATGTCCGTGAGTGGTTCGCCAGGGTTTGAGCGAGCTCGCCCTTTTCTTCCCAGCAAGTACCATGAGGAGATGTCTTGGTCGGATGTTCCGACGGGGATGGAGGGCGAGGACAAGGGGGCGATCAGAGTCATGGACGACCTGGCGGAGCTGCTGGATAGGGTGACGTCTGACGCCGAGGTCAGAGCTGAGCTCGCCCTCTCCCTCTCCCCCTGCCCTCCTTCTGATCCATTGATGCGTCAGGTGGTGCAGCAGCCGGCGGTGGAGGAGAAGGGGAGGGAGAGGTGGTTTCCGCTCGGGAGGGATGCTCTAGTGAGCTCGGTCAGAGCTGAGATGATGTTTGGGGTGCATGTGACTTTCTTGTTCAGACCCCTCAAACTTTGGCGCGTGCGCACGAATTAGAATCAGACACGTACCGAGGGTTTCCTGACAAAGGTGAGGAAGAGGAAGAGATTCAGAGCGAGAAGGAGGAGGAGGAGGAGGAGGAGGAGGAGGAGGAGGAGGAGCTACAGTTAGACGGAAACTCTGCTTTGCCGTGACAACACTTTTTTTGACAGTCGAAGGAGACTCGGAAGAGGATGCAATACATGGGCAGGATGTGTACGTGCGGACAGAGAGCGCGGACCTGTCTTCCTCCGATCTTGTGAGCGTTCCGCATGACGATGACTCTGGAGATAATTTGTTTCACGATGATCTCGTGGTAAGATTCTCCCATTGCTGCTCTCCTCCAGCTTCCCCTTCCTCTCCTCCCTCCTTCCTCCACTCTCTCAGGTTTCTCCTCTCCTCTCCTCTCCCCTCCTCTCCTCTCCCCTCCTCTCCTCTCCTCTCCCTCCTCTATCTCCGGCCCTCCTCTCACTTGTCCTCCATCTTCAGGCTCAGTCCACAGAGCAAGCTGCGCCTAGGGAGCACAGGCTGCACACGGACTACGACATTCAGGGACTCTTCTCTGACGTGAGCTGACGTTGGGCCCGCGCGGGGATGTGACTTGCGGTCAGGTCAAGATCCCCTCGGAGGATTACTTGTCTAATCTCGGAGAGGTGAGAAATTCTCCTCCTCTCTCCCTCCAATCCCTCCTCCCTTCATGCCTGCTCCAGCTCCTCGCTCGCTCCTTTCTCACCCCCTCTCCTTTACTTCCGCTATTCCTCTACCTCCTCCTCTCTTGCTTCGTTCCTTCCTCTCTTCGTCGTGCACGCTGTTTGTCTTGAGATACCTTCCCATCTCTGGCTACTTCCAGCTCCCTCTTCGACCTCGTCGTTCCTGTCGTCCGCCCTCTCTGTCGTTGGTCCTGGGACTCTGCTTCCTTCCATGCTCCTCTCGCTTGTCTTCTCCTCGCTTCTCCCCTGAGCTCTTTGGGGCACCAGGACGGGCAGCCATACGGGATAAGAGATCGAGCGCTGACCTTGAGAGACATCCAAGCAGGTCAGAGCTGACTTGCTGCTGCTCCGTGACTAGCGTGACTTGCTGCTCAGAGCGGGTAGCGAACTCTTTCTACCGTGTAGATCCAGACAAGTCCTTAGACGACTACGTGCCAGGTGAGCATTGCTTGCATGTTATTTCCTCTGCTCCAGGGTGATGTTCTTGGCGGCAGAACATTAACATGTCAGTATGGTGATCAGCATCGGCTGCCATGGCCCCTCTTGTTTCATTTATTCTTTCGCCCTTGTTATTCTTTCCGCACTAAAATCCCTTCAATCAATAACCAGAACGTATCTTACATGCCCCCGCCCTCCCTATCCTCCTCGTTGCCCTCATCCTGCCTTCACGTCTCCTCCGATCCTCTTCTGCTCTGCTGAGTTGCAGCTCAGCATGTCCTTCTCCTCCCCTCGCAGTAGCCGTGACGTCATCAGCAGCTCCTGTCCCGCCAGCTGCAACACAGACGCAAGCTCGACCGCTGGCGTGTCCCAGGAGGCGTTGAGGAGATGCTCCAGCTGCCCGATGGCCCTGGCGGCGCGATGGCGGGAGAACTCGATGTCGACGACGTCGGGGGGGTCGAGGAAGGTGTCCTTGTAGGAGGAGAAGCGCGTGGAGTCAGGCTTGAAGACATTGTTGGACGTGAAGGAGTTGACGAGGGTGATGCGGGGCCCCTTAGCAGCGAGGAGAGGGGAGACCGTATGGAAGATCTTGGAGCCTTGCACGAACGTCGCGTACCCTGCGGAGGGGAACTGGAGGCTACGGACGTCCTCCTTCCTCGCAGTGCCCCCCGAGAGCTGGTCCCAGGACGAGTGAGCGTCAGCTGCTGCCTGCGGCAGATAGAGCTGCAGGTCTCCTCCCTGCATGCCGACCGGGTCCGACAGCATGACGATGAGCACGTAGTCGACTGAGTCCACGTGCCACTTCTCAGCTGCTGCGCCCCCGACCTCCCCGAAGTTGGTGTGCCTGCTCTGAAGGTCAGCAGGGGGATCAGACGGCCCGCTCCTCCCGCTTACCCGATGTTCATCCCATGAGCATGCAGGGAGATGGGCTCGCCTGCGAGGGAGGAAAGGAGATCGAGGAGGGGCCTGTATGTCGACAGGTCCCGCACGAACTGGGAGCGATAGCCGAGGCCGCGGAGACACTTAGGTGAGCGAACCATCTGCTTCGCATGCTCCTCGTTGGCCTCGATGATTCGCCGCAGGACCTCCACGCCCTCCTCGCTCAGCAACCGGAAGGGTTTGGTGTAGACGCTCCCATGCGATCTTGAGACGGCGATCTCCTTGCAGATGTTGAGGTGACGTTCGGGGTCGAACTTGACGCTCTCCTCTTGCATGGTGAAGTGCTTGGGGATGGTGAGGGGGAGGGGGGCTCCTTCTCGGAAGTACTGGGGAAGAATGAAGGGCTGGGGCTCGTGGGTCATTCGAGGAACCTCGACCTGCTTGTTGTGTCTTGGAAGTAGCTGAGAGACGCTGATGCGCGAGAGAGCATTTGGCACCGGAGCATTCGGTGCCCTCCTCTCACTGGGTTTCCTTGCCGCGACATTGGGCAGGTGCATGACTTTCTTTGTCGCCTGCAGACTCGACCTCATATACCCTCGTAGATTGTTCATGCTGCGCAACGAGCCGGTCAGATGCTTGCTTCACGTGCATGTATCGTGTGATGTGATCGTCTCGGATGTGATTTCACGTTCCGATTTCCCTCTCCTGCTCTTGCTCCTCCTGCGCGCTACCAACTCTTCATGTCGCTTGTACCGTTTCGAGCCTGCCCTGCACATGGTTACCTTCCTTGCTATCCTGCTGTTCTCCCTACTGGCGAACTTTGTTCCTATCACTGTCATCCTCCCGATCGAGTCTCACTTCTCCTTTTCTTCTATCCCTCCCTTCCTCTTCCGTTCTTGTCTGTCCATTTTCCTTCCGCAACCTGCCCCCACCCGACCACGTTCCCCTGGTTTCCACCCTGATTTTCCCCAAGTACCTCAATAAAGATATAGATATAAAACATTATATCAATTCATGGTACAACTTTAGTGTATAATTATTCACTTATCAACACAATAGTACCTCTTTAAAAACAACAAAAGAAGATTTGTGTACAAATTAAAACATTTTAGTCTCACCCAAACCCCGTACCAGCCTTGCTCATTACGCCGCCTCCAAACATTGAGAAGACTTTGTGGCCGCCCACCGTCCGGGCACGAACGGCGTGGGACGGTCTGCCAATCATTAATAAAAATAGTCCATCACTGATGGGTGGCAGATGACGTCATCGCCGGGAGTCGCGGGGCCCCCGGGGCCGGCCCGCCGCGGGCGGGCCCGGGCCGGGCCGGCCGGGCATTGTCGAATCAACCTTGAATCATTGAGATTTGAACCCATATGGTGTAACCCGGTGACCCGCGGACTTCCGTAGGCCGGGGTAAACTTCAATCACTGATTTGCGGCAGGCTGTCACCGTCCCCATCGGACTGAGTGCCGCGGGGGCGCCGCGGCGCCCCGCCGGGCCCGGGGGGCCGGCCTCGACTGACTCAGTCAGTGAACTTCGGAAGTCGCTAACTTACGCTAACCGTTGAACTTGAACTCTCACTGACTCACTCGGCGGACTGACGGTCGGACCCCGGTGCGGCCGCCGCAGTGCCACTCGGACTGCCTCGCGCGGCCACTCGGCGACGGCCCGCCGTTGCGACTCGGCGTGACTCTGCCGGGCAGCCTCCGGGCCGACCGTCGGACGCCGGGAGCCTCGTGACCCCGGCGCCGGTCCGAGCGAGACCTCGGAGACGGCCCGGTCCGACTCGGCCATGGCCGAGTCATGGCGAGTACGGTCTGGATGCCCGGTCATCATGAGTCATGATGCAGGCAGTGGGCCCGGGTTACCGGCCGCGTACTAGCCAGGCTGAGCCGGCTTGTTTCAAGACGGTCCGCCGCCGCGCCGCCGGCGTGGCGCCACCGTGCCCCCCCGTGAGTGGCAGTCACTGACGGTGACACGCCGTGACGGTGGCGTCACGGTGCCACGGGTTTACTGCGCCACAGGGGTCAATTGAGAGCGGTACCCCGGGCCCGCCGTCCGACCGTCCGGTCTGAGTCGAGACTCTGAGACGGTGGCGATCGGGCCCGCCGCAGTCCGGGATGGCCCCGGCGGCACGGGCCGGGCCGGGCCTGGGACTCCCGGGCCGGCGAGTCCGTCGGATCACCGGGTTAAGTTAACATATTGGGAGAATGATTTGAAAGTATTCAATTTCCAAGTAGTTCATTTGAGGGGCCGATCCCAAATCTGGATTGGATTGGCGGATCAAGTACCGGTACCTTTCTAAGTAAATGTTCAGATTATACCAGGTGGGGTCAATTGAGCGGGAGCCTCGTGATGGGGCGGAAAGTGAAGCAAAAAAATTCAGGGTAGGGGTGGTCGTTGATGGGGTAGGGCTACCTATTCAGAGATCTTTGATGCTATCGAGAGGGTTCTCTGGGGAGACACACTACCCCTACCACATCTTGGTTTCCGAGCCTGGAGAATATCCGGGTCTTTTCCTCTTATTTTCTGGTTTTCAACGGGGTGGGTCTTGATAAAGACGGGTACATCAAATAAAATCCATCGAACAGGTCTGGGTAGGGCCTTCTTTAGGAATCGCAGGGGTAGGAACGTCGCAGGGGTCATTTGGGGTAGGTAGTCTTGGCGGAATTCGAAAATGCCGAGGAAAAGAACGAGGGATGCAAGACTGAGCGGCGGAGGAGAGGGAATGGTGGAAGGAAGAAAGAATCCTGTCTCTGAATGTCTCTTAGATGATAGAATCGTTCCTACAAGGACGACTAAGGCTAAGATAGGGAGGGAGTAGATTCCATGTTCGTCAAAGAATTCTTCTTTTGGACCGAGGGACCTTTGCAGCGAACAGCAGACGTGCAATACAAAAGATCAGGATGTTGTTAGATGATAAGTAGCAGTTAAGCATGTAATTGAAATGTTAGATATTCCAATGGTGGAGGAACGAACACATCGCTGCGTGAGAATGCTCGCAGCCAGATTGCGTAGAACAAACTATAAAGAAATATGATTTTCAGTGTAAACAGTATCGACAGCCTTGAGAGACAACACGCACGAACACATTCTTACTCAAACCTATTCATAGCTTGATTGTTTACTGACCAAGTTGCGTTTGTTTGAGCAGAGAGGCTTCACGATTTTCATAGCGTCTGGCTGATCTGTTTGCGATGTTGCTTGCGATCCCTCGGATTGTGTTGTTGTGCTCGCTGCAGGTGGCGCTGATTGTAGCCGAGCACCATGGCGCTGCAAACATGCTGATCAACGATGCTCGCATGGTTCACAGCAAGAGGATCCAATCCAGATTCGGAATGCTCTATGAGCTGACAAAGGATCAAAAGGGCCCTGGGTTGATGGGCAGCCTGGGACTGCCGTGCTTGCAGAGGCTGCGAGGAGGCAAGAGGAAAGCGAAGCACTCCAAGTACGATGATGACAGCGATGACGTGACAGACATGTCAGATTCTGCCGATAGCTTGACGTCGTCCTACACTTCGACGGAGTACGACGAGACCGAGTACTCGGACGAAGACCAGGACGCGAAGGCTCTGGATGAAAGAGATCACAACAGAGAGGAAGGCTACGACGATGACAGCTCAGCCCATGAGTACTTCGACTATGACCATGCCTTCGGCAAGGGAAAGAAGCCGCTCGCTCTCCGCGATACTGAAACGCGCGACGAGACTGAGGCTGAGGGCCAAAACATCCTCACCATCTCATCCGAGGGCCATGTCCAATACCTTGCCAAGGGCCTGCGGGAGCTGCAGGAATCTTCGAAGCTGATAGACATCACCATCAAGGGGCAAGGGGGTGTGAAGATCGCAGCCCACCAGGCAATCCTTGCAGCTGCGAGCCCCGAGCTGAAAAAAATGCTCGAAAATCTTCCAGCGGGAACCAAGGAGCTCGACATGCAGAGCATGGATGGTGAAAGTCTGACGGTCGTGTTCGATTACATCTATGCTCGCAAGATCAAGGTTTCGGAGGAGAAGCTCCCTGACATCCTTGGCATCAGCCAGAAGCTCGGAATCTCCGGATTGAAGGATACTTGTTACTTCCACCTGATGAAAGACCTGAAGCCCTCCAACGCCCTCAGGATGCGGCACCTTGGCAAGACGCTCGAATGCCACGAGCTCCTGGATGCCGCAAACAGGTTCATCATGCACGATTTCGTTGCAGTGAGCAAGTCTCAGAGCTTCAACGACCTCACTGAGGACGCCCTTTATGAGATCATCGGGAGCGACGACTTGTTCGTCGAGTCCGAGAAGGTCATCTTTGACTCCGTCATCCGCTGGGTGGAGTTCAACGAGGCCAACCGATCTTCCAGCCTCCTCCGCCTCATGGGTCAGATCCGTTTCGGCCTCCTCCCCCTCGACACCCTGGCGAAGAAAGTGGCTGCTGCGCCCCTTATCCACAAGCACTTGGCCAACAACCCACAGTGGCAGGCGATGCTGAATGCAGCCATTGCCTACGTGGGCAGCACTCCTGAGCAGAAGCAGATGCTGGAGAGCTCTCAGACTAAAGTCCGCCTTGGCAGCAAGGGCAGGTATCTGGTGTGCGCCGGAGGAAGGAAAGGAAAGAATTCAGATGCGCTCAAGTCTGCGCTCATGATCGACAGCATCACGGGAGAAGGGTTCGTTCTCGACGAAATGCACATCGCAAGGAAGCAAGTATCGGCGGCAGAGGCTGACGGGATCGTGTACGTTGCTGGGGGATGGGACGGTCACAAGTACCTCCGATCGGTTGAAATGTTTGATCTGAGCAGCAACTCATGGAAGAAGGTATGAGTGAATGTTGACAACTTGACGCCTTTACTAACGTCTCCACCAAGGGGCCGCCAATGCTCACAGCCAGGGGAAGCTTTGGGATGGCAAACTTGGGAGGAATGATTTGTGCTGCTGGTGGATACGATGGGCACAAGTAATGACATTGAAGAGACTTTGTGCCGGTGTCGTTGACTTGCCCCAGGCATCTGTCAAGCTGTGAATTTCTCAATCGTACCATGCAAGTCTGGCAACAGATGGCTCCGATGCCGGTCACCTGTTCTCCTCTTCGTCCGTCTCCCAGCTCACACTTTCACAGCATGCTAGATCCGGCGCCCGCCTTGCTGTCCTTGGAGATCATCTCTACGCTGTCGGTGGTTTCGACGGCAAGAACGTAACTCTACCAGCATGAATGTGCTGTGCCAGTTGACACCGTGCCAGGTCTTGAACACAGTGGAGATTTTTGACTCAGTCTCAAGTACGCCCCCTGCTCTCTCAGCTGTTGCGTTTCTCTGATGTTATTGGCTCAGTGAAGTGGGTCGAGGGGCCTCCTCTCAATCACGCTCGTCGCGACCATGCCATGGCGGTAAGTGAAGCTTCGCCGCCTAATGGGATCGAGGCTACCGGTCGGACTGACCGCCGGGCCGCAGGTCTTGGATGGCGTTCTGTATGTCGCTGGCGGCTTCGACAGCAAGCACGACCTCGCAACGGTTGAGAAACTTGACCCCAAGACAAACACCTGGCAGCTGGTGGCTAAGATGCAGAAGAAGAGAAGCGGGTTGGCGCTGCATGTGGTGAGTTGCAGGGTAGAGGGCCCTCGAGGTGGTGAGAGGCTTCTGCAGTTGAATCACAAGCTCTGTGCCATCGGAGGATACGATGGCTTGAAGTATCTTTCGGGTGAGACCTCGGCTGATCTCCAGCAAGCCTGTCTTGCTTGACTCATGCCATTTCAGCCATCGAGAGCTATGATCCTCGTCTTGACCAGTGGAACCTGGAGCATGATGTGACCTGATCTGTCACCTCCGCTCGCCCTGACACATGCTTGCAGGTCTACCTTCCTTCCCGCATGGCGCATTTCGCCGCTGCCATCGTCTAGGTGGGGACGGAGCGAGGAGAGGCTGGGGATCAGACGACACGCTTCTCTTAAGTTTACAAATGAACTTTCAAAGGCTTAACACATTTTGTTGCTGCACATGTCTCAACACATGTTCTCAGATGGGCTCTGGAGCTTCGGGTCGATGACCCGAGAGCTTCTCGCCGAGTTTCTCGAGTCGCCAATGCTGATGTGCTCGTGCGTCACGATCTCCAGCTGTTGATGGCCATGGCCATGATCACGCTCCTCCTGTTCGCTCTCCACTGACTCCTTCTCGAACGCTGACGTGTCGCCGGTGATGAAGAGGAAGAAGTCTGACTGGCGGAACTTGTCCCAGCAAGCGCCCAGGGTGAGGTCATCATAGGTTGTCAACTTGCCATGGAGAGCCTCGAGGTACTCGCGGTGTCGGACGTTGACGATGTAGTACAAGTAGATCAAGCAGAACAGAAATGCGAAGGAGGAGAAGAGGAAGAAGAGGGTGTTGAACACGTTCATGCCATACATGCCTCCGCAAGATGCCATCTTGATCCCGTCTCCTTTGCACATGTTCCATGATTCACACACGGCCAGGTTGAGCACGTCGGAGGGCGAATGATACGTTGTTTCAATGCTGCTGCTCGTGGAGTTGTACACCACCGCATTGCCGTCACAGTAACTCGTTGACAGCAGCGGCTGGATTGACCGAGCTGCATTGGCCGAGAGGATAGCAGCGAGAAAGGTCATGGCCGTGTTCCAGCTGCAAAAGACCCAGAAGGCCTGCACGGGCCCGGGCAACGTGAACTCACCTCTGACCTGCCGGGGCTGAGCCTTGACGTAGAAGAAGCCAAAGAAGAGCGACGGCAGCGTGATGGCCCAGGTGGGAAAACCCCAGGGAGTGAAAAGCCCGAAGATGAAGGAGAGCAAGGCGAACAGGACGATGATGGCGACATAGACAAAGACGTAGCTGAAGGACACGAGGAGCCGGTTCCTCGCTCCACTCTTGGTGTCCCTCCAGTCGAAGGAGATGCCTGAGACCGGCAGCCTCGAGTACGCCGCTAGAAACCCACAGCAGACAGGCTGCGCGTGCTCTGGTGGCGCATCCCCCGCTATCTCCATGGTCTTGTCTTCAGCGTTGCCGAAGGAAGAAGACTTGACTGAGATCTTGTTGGTGGATTCAGCCAAGGGAGCCGGATCGTTCATGCCAAACACGCCAGCAAAAGAGCTCGACTGATCGTGTTTGCTGACGCTCTTCTTCGTCTCTCCCTCGAGCCTCTCCAGGCTCTCGAGCTGCTGGTTGATCTCATCCTTGATGTACTCCTGCTGCTTTGCAATGTGATCTCTGCTGCTCAGCTCCAAGTCTGTCATCCCCTCCTCCCGGTTCTCTTTGTCAGAGCCGACGAACGAGTACGGGTCTTCGTCCTTGACAAGCTCCATGTTGATCTGCGCGGAAGAGACTTCATCTGTCGTCCGCTCGTGCTGAATGCGCGCTAGATCCTCGCTCTCTCTGTTCTTCCTGGCATTCTTGGCCATCCGGAGCTGGGCTGTATACTTCTGGAGCTCGGCCTTGAGCTTCTCCTTCTTCGAGGACCAGGCAGGGCTGTGTGAGGAGGTAGGCGAGAGGACCTGATCAGAATGCTGCCACTGCTCCTGGTCTTCGACGGATGAATTCAGTTGTGACTTGACCTTTGACAGATGCTGTTCCACTCTCGAGCTTTCGTCGTTGGAGCTCCTTTCATAGTCAGCCACGGACAATTGCTGGTGCATCGACTGCAATTCGTTTCTGATACCATCCTTTGCTTCCTGGAAGCTCAGGTTCGTACGAGAGCGCGACGATCGAGTCCCATTCTACAACATCAGATCAGGCCGAGTCATCGACATCTCAAGCTCTTCCCCTACCTCGGTTGCATGGTTCTCGTACCCAGGGCTGAAAGGATTCTTTTCTCCCTTGGCATCTATCGGACTGAACAATCCTCGACCTTTCAGTCCCACGTCGGCCTCAATCACGACTTCATGCTCCTGCGAGTCGTCTGGGTTGCTTGCGCCAGCTGCTGGTTTGCGAGCTGCTGTCTCGCTGACCTCCATGGGCTTTGCACCCCCATTGTCTTGTTCTTTCGAAAGTTTCTGCAGAGAGTTCAACGTGCTCGACAACTCCTGGTTGACCCTGAGGTATCGAGACGTGTGTGAGGTCGCAAGCAATCGCAGTAAGAGAACAAAATCAAACCTGTTCACTTCCACATATTCAGATTCAGTGACTGACTTCTCATCTTGGCCGACCATGTCGTCGGGTGTTGTTCCGAATCGACTAGCTGACAACTGGATGTTTCTCCGACCAGACAATCGTCGAGGGTGCATCTATCGGGTAACGGTGAGCATTCGAAAGGGGGCAGGCTACTCTTACTCTTACCTCCTTGATCGTAACATCTCCGACAGATCTGATCTCAAAGTCGATTGAATCAACGTCTGAGCTGTCAGAGTCTGAGATTGCTCGAGGCATTTTCTTGCTGCCAGATGCGTCAGCTTTGATTTTACTGCTCGATTCCGTGATGGTTCTCTTCAGCGGGCTTCCAAACGACGCCTCAATGCTTAATCCGTCCTTACTGGGTGTCTTCATCCTTGCCCTTGCCACTCGATATGCTTTCATGTAGTTGTTGTATGGCTCGTCGTGACTCGCCGAGGCGTTTGGTGAAGATTGCTTTTTCATCTGCCACCAATGTCAGCGGGCACAACAAGTTCCATTCCGATCATGTGCGTAAGGACAGATTGATGGCTATTGAAATATGTAAAGACAGACAATGACCACACTCCATTCACTTGTGTCATCAACAGAGAAATGTTTCTTTCAACATCCTCATGACCTTATTCACTGACTTTGTGTTCACTGTACCCCCTCTGTATCCCTCCTAAAATCAAGGCAAAATCTTGCGTACAACAACTGCTGCGTTCTCTAAAAAGTATCAACTGAAGATGTCGTTTGTGATCTGGTTAGTACCAGAGAAAAAAAAGTTCCAAAAAAGCAAAAAAGAAGGGGACGGCAGAAAGAAGCCGGAGGCAGGGCAAACTACCCCCGGCCAAACCGCCAGAAGTACCACCCCTACCCTATCCCTTACTCTCCGGCCCTATTCGTCAGCTTCAGAATACCCCTGGTATCATCATTGTGGTACCCCCCACCGTACGGCAGTTCCTTCCTAGATGCCAACCACCCACACCAAAAGTGATACAAATAACCACCCCACCCATCATCAACCGAACAGTTTCTGTGCTACCACACGGTCCGAAGCACCACTGACCCCTACCTTCTGCAAGCCTACCCACCCTTCCTCCTATGGGCTTTAAGGCGACGAGCTACTACACAACTCATCAACCCTGATGGGACCCTACCCCCATATGCCCCGCTCTTTCATGGAGTACCCTACCTAGACAGGGTACCAAACAGAGTCTGTCTCCACCCGTAGTATGCTCAACCGGAATAGCCCCGGGGGACCCATGTGAAGCACTGAGGCGCAACCACCCCACCCCTCCAGAGCCGTAACTTCATTCAGCGGCGACAGTATCGTCTGATATCACCCCACCCCCACAGGCCTGGAAGACATGCCGGGGTGACCTACATCGCACCAGCCTAAATTATTATTTAACTTTACAACAATGTAAATGATACCACTACCTAATAAAACAAATGTATAATGATTTGATTTTCAGTCTTCAAGTACTGGCAGAGTGGACCATGGTACAAAATTTCGTACATTTTCTCGTCTGTGATCTCTAACCGTGCAGTACTGAAATTGTACCGGTCGCTGACTGGGTATTGCCAAGTTAGTTTACGTTGAAGCAAGGGTCACTATTCATTGCAGGGCACAAGGGGGTGGGGTGGTAGGGTCATCCTCAGGGAAACGCTGGGGACCGTGAAGGCAGGGGGGTGGAAGTAGGTGGGGGCCACAAACCTCAGAAGGGTCTGCGAGTATGGGTGGGTGGGTGGGTGGGTGGGGTATTGGGTGCAAGAAACTACCGTTACTGCTGGTTAACGTCGATTCGGCCCGCCTCTACTAGCCCCCGGCGGCCCGCGCGCGGCGGGCGCCGGGCACCGTCACCGTCACCGCCGTCACTCACGGTCACTAAGCCGGGCATCCGGCGCCAAGGGCCGCACAGTGGGCTTCCGAAGTTCAAGTTCGGGCCCGTTCTGTCCGAGGACCTGACTCGGGCCCGTGCAGTGCCGGGCGGTTGCCAACTCCTGGAGTCTTTCTTTACTCAAAGTCAAGTTAAAAATCAGTACGAAGTCCGTTGTTCACGGTTCCTGCGGCAACGCGGCACTGACATGATTCTCTCCTCCGAGTCTATGAAACGGCCTTTCTTATGATGATTTTCAGTTTGCTTGCAGCTTACCTTTCAGAATGCAAACTTGAAAGTTGTTGGCTCGGCGGCAGATCTCGATCCATCATCGGCGCCGCTCAGTTTTCGCTTGGCCCGGGCCGGGGCTGAAGTCACGGTGGATCGCTGCTGCAGGGGAAGAGAATCCTGGCATCCGATCAGCTGCACTGCGGCAGCCCGACAGCTCTCCGATGCTCAGTTAGGAGGCAAGAGACGGTAAAGCTCATCTGACTGTCACTGGCAGTGAGCGGGGGGAGGCTCGGTGACATGTATCATTGCTACTAGCTGCAGCAGTGAAGAACGTACCTGAGTTAGCTTCAGCGCTAGATCATAACTCGCACTGATGACTGAGCCGAGCAATAAGCTGCGGAAGAAAAGGAAGAATCTAAATACCGACAGCTTGTCACGCTCTCCGGCAAGTGAGTTGACAGGACGAACATGACTAGTAGAAGCCAGGGAGGCAGCCATGGCAGCCTGAGGGAGGCACAAAGAGTGAGGAAAACGTGCTTCGAGACACCCGAAGGAGCGAATAGTGGAAACTGCAGGAGAGCACATTGATATTGTCCTGTCACCTTGTGTTGCCTCGGTCTTGTCTCAATATCGGAAGGCTTGCTGGGCAACGTCGGCGAGGAGCTGGCTTCCTTCACTCTGCTGCCGAGCTAGAGCGAGTCTGGGAGGAACATGAGAAAGGAATACAGGGAGAGCATAGAGACGAGCAGAAAAGCAGGCATTAGAAAGAGGAGGGAGGAGAGAGGAGGGAGGAGGGAGGAGGGAGGAGGGAAAGAGGAGAGTTGCGGGATGGAGAGGGCAGGGAGCAGGCATAGGTGAGAGAAGAGCTAGCCTCTTGGAGGGAGGGCAAAGGGCGCGGAAAAGAAGATATGAGACGTTGTGTACAGATGAGAGATAGACACAGGGTCTTACAGCCGTAAACCCTCTTGTCTCTTCCCAAGAGCCTTCAACAGACCAGCATATCCGCAGAGGGCGCTGTAAATGAGTCAAAACCAAAGGAGGAGAACAACAAAGAGTTGGAGGCAAGACTGCTGAGAAGGATAGTCAGGAGGTTTTACCGGATATTGGTAGGGTCCAGAGCAAGAGCTTGTTTGTACATAAGCTCCGCACCTCCACTGTCCTTCATGTTCTCAAGCAAGATGGCATAGGATGCGAAGATATCAGGAGAGGTAGAATCCCTCTCCAGCGCTTGCTGTCAAAAGTTTTGTCACCACTCAGTGCGTTGTTGGGATCATGGCGTGAATGCTGAAGAGAAGGGATGGGAAGGAAAGAAGAAGAGAAGAGAAGAGCAGGGAAGGGGCAAGGAACAGGGCAGGAGAGGAAAGTGACAGGGAGGAGAGGGGAAGGGAAGAGGAAAGGAAGGAACAGGGCAGGAGAGGAAAGAGACAGG